ACCTCTTGTTATAAAATGCTCATCTACCAATTTTCTCTGTTGTTCTGCTAATTTCGTATTTTTGTTGTAATAGTTTCTCTTTAATTTAGCCTTAACCAGACGTTCTTTGTATTTTTTCAACAAATCTTTCGCTTACGAGCATTATACTGTAAGCCATTCCGAAAATGCTGGAACGTGTCACATAAATCGGTTCTTGGACTCATGGTTTGAATATAAGGCGTTAATTGGTGCCATAACTTGCGGAACGCATCATATTTTAACGATAGACCGATTTATAACTCGTTTCGGCTGGTAAGAGTACAAGTGATTGAATAATGCGGTTGACATTTCTACCAGGACTTGGTAGACCATGAGTTTCAGCATAATTCTCGAGAAATTTCTTCACGGCTGTAGCAACAGTTATGTCAATGGTTATTTTGGTTTTTCATCGCGGTACTCGTTTGGTATTGCGGTATTATACCATTCGTCGCTAGATGATTTCTGACGTTTTCCAAATGAGTGCGGCCAATTCCTAACATATTGAGATACGTTTTCTGACAGAGCGGCGTATTGCGATCTCAATAATAAAAAGTTCTTTTATTAGTACGCGTTTTCTTTTAAGACGTCGACTAGCGGTTATTTCTCCACCACTCATTGCTTTCAACTGGGCCATTAAAAATATATCTTGCTCAGATCTAGAGAGAGCTTGAAACACCTCACGTAATTCAGCAAATTTTTCTTTCGGAATCATTTTCGAGCAACCACATTTACAACCTGTCTCCAAGAAACGCACTGCGTTTTCATATTCAGTCGAACCATTATAATTATAATTTTCCATATACGGGTAATCCTATATATAAATTCTAATACTTTATATTCTTCAATGCTTCTTGCATATTATATATGTTTTGTAAGAAGAATTATTGTTACTATAGTAAGTTGTCCGAATGAGAATTTTATTACGTCTATCGTTATGGACATAAAAAGATCATAACAATAAGCTCTTCTTGATCAACAGTTAGAGTTTAGCATTAGTGAAACACGTCACATTTTAAACCATCTATATTCATCACTACTATTCATTGTAATTATTCTTACTTTTCTTGCAATGTTCTTGTTCATCATCTTCATGGATTCTGTCTGGTATACAATTCACAGTCATTATAGTTGATTTAACAAATTTGACCAGAACACTAATAATATTACCTTTTCTTATAAGTATATAGCATCATCCGATGCAAGAGTCTACGAGCAACGGGATCATGGTATGGATCAATCCAGGAGCACAAGAGGCTTTCAAAGGTTTGTTGATACTCTTCAGTAAGCTTAAAGACACCAATACCACAGACGATGAAGCATCTTTCGTTCTTCCTGATAAATTTCATAAGTAATTTTTTCTTTATCTAGATATTCCTGGAGTGTTTGGGTGTCATTGATTTTAAAAACATAAGGCGCAATTTTTTCTCCTTGAGCTTTCTTTAGAATGCTTCTAATGGTGTGTAATTCTTCGGTTCCATAGTGGATTTAATGTAAATTAGTTTTATATTAATATTTTTTATATAGAGATATTTATGTCACATAATAGAATGTTCACTTTGTCTGGTTTTGTTGCAGCATGCCCCATATATGAAAATAATGAATATAATAGTTTTACTGAATATGAAAAGGCCTTACTTTTCTTGGATATAGATTGTAATTGCAAAAAAGATTATGAGAAAAAAGTTTGCCGAGTTATGTGAAGTGTTTCAAACTCTCTCTAGATCTGAACAAGATATATTTTTAATGGCCCAACTGAAAGCAATGAATGGTGAAGAAATAACTGCCAGTTGACGTCTTAAAAGAAAACATGGACTAATAAGAGAACGTTTTATTACTGAGATCGCAACACGCCACTATGTCAGAAAACGTATCTTAATATGTTAAGAATTGGCCTTGCTCATTTGGAAAACGTCAGAAATCATCTAGTACTAGCAAAGAATGGCATAATACCACACGTTCATGGTAACATAAAACAAATACGGCGATGGATAACCATCGATAAAAACGTTGCTACAGCCGTGAAGAAGTTATGCTGAAATTCATGGATTACCAAGTCCTGGTAGAAATGTAAACCGAATTACTCAATTGCTTACACCTTTGCCAGCCGAAGCGAATGACAAATCGGTCTATCGTGATTTTATTGCAGGTCTCAAAAACAATAGCACGTTGAAATTGTTAAAATATGATGCGTTTCGCAAGTTATGGCACCAATTAACGCCTTATATTCTAAGAACGGATTTATGTGATACATGTCAACGGTTTCGAAATGGCTTACAGTAAGGAAGAAGCAAAAGACTTATTGAAAGAACATCTGGTTAAGTCTAAATTAGAAAGAAATTATTACAACAAAAATACAAAACTAGCAGAACAACAGAGACAATTGGTAGATGAGCATTTTATAACAAGAGGTAAAGCTGATTATTGATAAATTTGTTACCGATACTGCTTAAAACCGATAACTCGCAAAACCGATACTTTTTTCAATTCCCGTGCAATTTATATGATAAACCCCTCGTAAAACCGATATATTAATATTAATATAGACTAAGACCGATAAACCGATATAATGTAGTACAAATTACGTAAGTAGTCAACAAGATCTTGCGCGTGAATCGGCCTTTCCCACGTGATATGCACCGCGAGTAGAATGTTGTAGAAGTTTCGCTCATTAAAAAGATAATCGCTTAGTGTCACCTGAAAATTTTGTCAGGAAAAAAAAAAGATCAAAGCGTGAGCTATACGAGTACCTCTCGATCTTTATTAAAAGCTCCTATTCAAACAATCAAAGAATCTACCAGTTGACCAAAATCATATTGGTTTGTAAATATGGTAATATGAACGCTTTATATTTATTACTAAAGTCCAAACAGTAGTTGTATGTAGAGTTTATTCATGACGCAAATGTGTACTATCGTCCATTCAGGCCGCTGCAACAAAAAATATCAAATCCATCATACCACTTCTTGACCGAGTACTCATTCAACGCCTCAAAGCAGAACAGGTATTCTTGATTAAATCAACCCGCTTTGTGTAAAGATAGTTCGTATTGGGTCACTAACTGTTAAACGACGACGTCACATTATTATATGTAGAAAACCGCGGCAGGAATTTTAATCCCAGAGAAATCGTTAGAGACATACAACGAAGGTCAAGTCATTGCCGTTGGAAAGGGTGCTCTTGACAAAGTAAGACGTTTTATTCAAAAGGTGATCACCAGTGTAGCAAAGGTCTGTCAGCATGCTGAATCTTTTTTTTTTTGCGTTCTTGTTGTTCTCAGCATGGTAAGCATATTCCACCACAAGTAAAAGAGGGTGATCGGGTGCTTATTCCAACATACGGTGGAAATGCCATAAAAGTCGGGGATGAAGAATATCACATATTCCGGGATCACGAAATTCTTGCAAAGATTAACGAATGAATGAATCCATACAATTCTTGCACACATATGTGTCATTTTGACAACAAATAAAAAAAGCCAATACTAGCAGCATTCACAAGCAAATCATGACCGAATTGCAACATCTGAAGAGTCAGATTAAAATCTTGAACTTGATTGCAACGACTTCCAAGACCCATTCAAACAAGTTTCGTTCCGATCAGCAGTAAATCTCTCTCATTAGCCAGATCTTTAAATCGACGCATTCGTCAAGAATTAGTAAATCAGTGAAAGGTCTAAATTGGCGAGTAGCCTTGAATATATATTCTTTTATTCATTAAAATGAGGAAAAAGAAAGACACCAACAGAATTTCATTACAAGTTTACGAAAGCATTGAGAATTTAAAATTATTTTATAGTCTTAACCGGTCTTTTTCCTAAACGAACACCCTGATAAAGCAAATATACCATTATTAGAACATATCTACATTCAAGCATCAGATGCGACATTAATATTCCACTGTTTCGTCTTTTTACCTTCTGTTAATCGAGCGCGACCACCTGTGGGCTGACACAGTACATTTGCGCAGGAACCGCAGAGAACCACTGTTTGAGCATGACTGAATACGGTTGTAATATTGAAACATCCTGGACATTTTACGTCCATGAAATACGAGTTGGGACTTTGCACCAATCTCTTTAACTTGTGTTGGCGTTTCTCATGTTCAGGGGTAGGACTGAGAAGATCGATAGTCAACTATTTAGGAGAAATCATTAATCGAGTTAATAAATGTATGGAACAAGTCTGATCGTGTTTCAACACTATGCGCTTTTCCTGCGAATTAAAGATAATATCCACGAACTTTCGCCTTGGTGACTGTCAGGCAATCGCTATTAACAAAATGAGACTTGCGACAAAAGATTCTGCTTTCGCGATTGCCAGCAATTAAACCTTCGGCGCAGTAGCCGCATGTCCATACTTAAAGCCTAACTTCGTTCTCCATTTCACGCCCATGTATATTTGCTATGCGGTATTCAATCCGCATAAAAGAATCTTATTGACGAAATAATCTTTGTAGACTTACCACCATGTTTGCTATTAATGTTCGGGTGAGATTGAGAAAACCATCTTTTCAGTTCTAACAATTTTTAAGAAAAAAAAAATTTTTTTTTTCGAAATACCCCCAAAATTCTAGGGACCATTTTTCTTGGTTTCGATTAAAATTCGTCTTTGCCGTTACCCTTATTCTTTCTCTTTTCAGCATTGTCATCTGCTTGAAGGTAAATTGAGAATGTTGATAAGCGGACTTTTTTGTGGATGCTCTGTGTAGACAATAGACACCTCTTGGAGAGTTTTTGGTTTATTTCTGTAAATGGATGGATATGGTTTATTTTTTTGACATTGGCGGGAATTGATCTCAATAAGCTTTTTTTGACCATTTAACAGATATAACCAGCAAGTATGGTGGAAGCTGTACAGTGTTACGGCCGCAAGGTTCGTTAGCAAGAATTTTCTTTTCCGTCAAAGATTTTGAGAAAGAAAACCAGGCATTCTTTACGGCAACGAATCAAATTGAATCCTTTGTCTTTTAACTCGCAAACTTTTCCAACATCACGACAGAAAACTGCCACAGCCGTCGCATACTGCAAGCGCGGCAAAGGCTTACTGAAAATAAACGGATCTCCAATCCACTTGGTTGAGCCAGAAATCCTCCGGTTTAAAGTCTACGAACCTATTCTGATTCTCAGACAGCATTTCAACCATGATAAATTTGCCAATGTCGACATTCGCGTGCGTGTCAATGGTGGTGGCCATACTTCGCAAATATACGCTATTCGTCAGGCAATAGCAAAAGCAATAGTAGCCTTTCATCAGAAATATGTCGACGAAGCAACAAAGAAGGAGATCAAAGATACATTGATTCGCTATGACAGATCCTTGTTGGTGGCAGATCCTAGGCGGTGCGAGCCAAAGAAATTTGGAGGACCTGGTGCCAGAGCACGGTATGTTGTTCTTATTGTTTCTGAAAAGAAAAGGCGGGAATGGAGAGAGTCTGCTTTTTTTTTGTCGTCATCAGACATATTAATACTAATCGTCGATTATTCAATAATGCTGTACAGATACCAGAAATCTTATCGTTAGTATTCTTTCAATATGACGACGTATGTCTTGATATTTTACATGAAAATGCTCATACTGTTCTAAAAATGCAGGTTAATTTTATTTTGCGAGCCAATAATCGTTACGAGACTATTCGCTGGATATCTTCATGTGACTACTACAAATATAATATTAAAATTCGAAATAAAAAAATCGATATTACATTTCTCAAGAGAGGGGATGGGTTGTTTACAGTTTTGACTAATCCTACTATCAATTCGTTGAGCAGGCCTCTTCATTCGATTCATATTAGAAATCCCGTTATGGTGATAACATTATTTTATTCCATATTTTCACGGTCATTGGATATAATGTGTTATGGGCCCATATTTATTAACGCAAGCATTAGCAGTGATTGCAACACGCGTTACAAACTATAATAGCTGATGTATTAGAAAATATTCAATAAAGAGTCAAAGTTCAGAGAATGAATTTCGATAGAATTCATAAGGTGGGGTAAGTGGGTGATAGTAAATTTTACGATTGCCTGTAACTATTGTCGTCTCAGACAATAATTCCAAGCTGTTTAAGACGATGAGTTCTATTTTTCCTATTCATCGGGGAACATTCGCGGTATTCTTGCTCTATTCTTTGCAATATGATTAGCATGTCTAGTTATCATTATCTTACTTTATTAATTGATCTGACAATACTATAGTCTTAAGTTTTCTGCTTTCCTTGTGTCCACACGATTCTTTCCCTCTGGTTTTTTCCCTAATGACTCCTTCTTCCCATCCCGGTTAATTATTGTAATATTCTAAAGTACAAATTGTTTGAAATAGAGTCAAATTAAGCTCGACCAGTTATTCCATAAAAAATGTCACTATTGTTATACAGTACCTTCTGACCAATCAATTTATCCAAAACCTTTTTCCTAGAATGATTTTTTACCAGTCCAGGTTTCACCCTAAAAATAACAAACAAACCGTGAATTAATGCTCAAAGTGCATCCGTATGCAGAAGCAAAAAAAAAATTAAAGACACGTACTTCTCCATAACTTTTTCTTCACGTTCTCTCATCTTCTTTTCCTTCTTCTTTGCGCGTTTCTTTTTCGCTCGGATATTCTTTTTATCCGCAGATGTTAGTTCCGTTTCACCTTTGACTTCTACATTCTTCTTGTCATATACTTCCTCTGGCGCCAATAAGTTAGAATCGTTAACGTTAAGCGGTATTACTTCTTCCATGTTTATTGCTGCTACATTCGTTATCACAGTGACTTCGGGTTTGGGCTAATGATGAATTATGGGGGTAATTATAAAAGTGAGGACAAATCATTTAAACACTGTATTCCCACAAGCTGTTACATACCGGCTTAGGTGTATAATGGAAATTACTCAATGCATCTAGCTTAAAGCATAGATCTTTAAACATATCTTCTATTTGCTCGTGTTCCTTTTTTAAGCTCTCGTCTTTTTCATTCGTCTTATCTCCTGACGTTTGTTTAATATACTCGTCTTCATATATCTCAGCAAGCGATTTTTGTGATTTTTCGTGTGAAAGTTCAACCACTTTTGAAGGAAGAAAGGGACGGAAGTTTGGATCTTGTTTGCGCTCCACATCGTCAAAAGTACCCTTAAGAATAATAAAAGTAACATGTATTCAGTCATCTACGCAAATAACTATGCCAAAATATACATCAAAACGCTAGTTTGCATACTACAGTCGACAATGACTTACGTCTAGAATTCTTCTTTTTATTATTTCTTCTAACTTATTTGTCGCGTCTTCAGTAATTACCGGAACAGGCTGTGTAACAAAACATTATGCTTGTTAATATCAATAGTAATAGCTAATTTAGGACCTTACATATAGTACCTTGGAAACGAAGTCATATTCCAAATCTTCCTCGAGCAAACTGTTGATCGGACGGTCCTTGCTCGATGCCTAAACAAAGTTTAACGTGTATGATATTTTCGACTTGCTAAACAATTCTTCATAAACGTCTTGCAGACTGACGCAATACCTCTCCAGTCATTGTCCAGTCTTTCTCGGCAACATTTTCTGCCTCTAATAGTTTTATCCGTTTCATGATTTTGTCTTGTTGCTTCTGGAAAGTAGACTTCGGATCATCGTCTAAAACATCAAAGGTTTCCAGTAAGCATATATTTCCTTCAAAGACACAGGAACTTTTCGTGTAATAACAGTTAACACCATTACCAACCGTGATCGCTATCATCTTGAGCAAACAAGTCGCTAACTTTTTTCTTTAACGCTTCAGAAGGACTTGCATTGCCTTCTTCGTCGTCTGATGTCAGATACTCATCTGAAGAATCTGCGTCAACTGAATCTGCTTTACGTTTTCGCTGGTTCTTTGGTGTTTCGAAAAAATCGGCATATTTTATGTCTATTTGACAAACACACAATCAAACGTGCAATCTTGGTGAATCGTTAAGTCGGTACACGAGTCTTTTAATTGTTTCTTACCATTAGCATTCAAGGTATTCTCATCCTCTGATTCGCCAAAATCTTCAAGTTCATCCTCCGATTCGCCAATATCTTCAAGTTCATCCTCTGATTCATCTGTATCAATTTCAAGAGATACCTCATCACTTTCAATTTTAAGTCTTCGTTTTTAATTTACCCTGATAGTCTTTTATGCTTACCTCTAAAATTCTGTTACATTATATGTTACATTCTTACCTTGGAGATCTTCGAGCTCCTGCAAACGGTTCATAAGTATCGTTATTTTTTAACGGTTCTTGGAGGAGGTACAAATGTCAAATTTTTCTGTTCGGCTAGAGCTGATTGGTTGGCACATAAAAAAGCATGATATACCGGTAGTATTTAGTAAACGCGTTCATAATACGTTTTAACCCCAACGTGATATACTCGAGGACAGATTAATTATCGAAGATTAGTGTCTACGCATCGACACTGTGAGTCAATGCCTATAACTATAAATAGGAGACGCCACGCTCCGTTCGAAAGTAGCTAAATTCCTAGTGTCGACAATTGACTGCTCTCCCGCAGTTGTTGGCACGACAATGGTCAACTGCGATATTAATATCGTAGGCTTTGCTATCATAATCAAAGATAACCCAGTGCATAATGATATCGTTCTGGCAAGACATAACATAAAAGAGGTCGATGCATGAGGTAAAGACGTGTGGGTATGTAGTAGGTAGAGAATGAGGCTTGGATTGTGCCATATTAACACTTCTTAATTCATATTAATATTAATATTAACATATACAGTCAACCCTCTTTATAGTCACCCCCTCTATAAGTACATCATATAAAGACCTCTTTATAAGCATACTATTGAACTTGTAGGAAAACCCTCTATATAAGCACATTTTCAACAAAAGTTGCATTGTTCCCGACAACGTGACTATAGAGAGGGTTGACTGTACTTATTTTTGTCACGGGAATGTTAACGTGATAGTATAATTTTATGCGATCGAAGGAAAAAATTTTCTCTCCCGACTATTACTGTTACTATACCGAAAAATTGTTAGACATTAAACAACTTTAATTATTATGCAGAAAGGCTGTCAGTCGCCCTCACAAGCAAGTCGAAACAGGACTAGAAAGATAAGTTAATAAATATAATAAACCTTTGTGCGGGCTCATGATGAATCTCTTTCACACACCCTCATTCTTTACATGTTCCTTTTTATATACGCCCTTCTATTTATACCTCCCTTCGCTCTTTTTTATACCCTTTTATACACTCTTCTTTTTTGTAAGTTTTTTTTTTAAAAAAAAAATCTCTCTGGCCTGTTGTTATTGTCGACAGGCTAATCCTTTGTTTGGCCTGTTGTCCCTGATAAGTCGGCAGGCCGAACGTATATCACCCCGTTTTGTCTGTTTGTCCCTGAAAAGTCGGCAGTCCAAAGCGGTGTATCATCCTCCGTTTGGCTTGTTTGTCCCTGAAAAATCGGCAAGCCAAATGGCCCCTTAGATTCTAGGTTCGTTTGGTCTGTTTGTCCCTGAAAAGTCGGCAGGCCAAATGAACCTTTGGATTCTAGCCCGTTTGTCCCTGAAAAGTCGGCGGACCTGAATCTAATTCTTTTAATAATTTCAATTCCTGAAAGCCTATCGATTGTATAACGATTGTTTAGTCATTACGTCATTCGAATTGAAACATATTTCTTTGCAGGATTGAATTCTGGTCTGGTTGTATTACCAAAGGCTAGTATTATTATTTATTATTATGACTACTGTTTATGTTAATCTGGAGTCGTAGCATAACCGGCTGACAGTTGTTGATAATCCGAAAGTTAGCAGGGAGAAAAGCTTTAAACGCAAAAGAAATCAATGATATGTTGCGGCCAGATGCGATTGTCATGGAGAGCTGAATATAATTACTGACGACGGCAACTGTGCTATGGCGTTTTGCATTAATGGTAAAGGAAATGCTTTGATAGGAGCAATAATTGTAAACAATGATAATGAGAGAAGAATACATATCATTTCATCGAGAATCGCGAGTTGCTATCAATGAAGAACCCTTGATATTAAATTAGTACGCTATTAATAGTGGATAATAAAGTACCAGATTGAGAATCAATTTTTAATCTTATAAACACTAGAATGAAATATTGATTGTTATTATTATTGGATAGTTTTATCTTATAAGTAGCTACCATAAAGAGTGATTTTTAGGCAAGCCAACCATATTTTAATAAAATAACACGAAAGTCCGATGTCATCATTTATGTTTATTTCATCCGAGTATTCGCTAGAGCAATTTAGAGCACATGGGTTAATCCTAATTTGCTGTGTTCCTATAACTTTGATATTTTAGTAAAAGTCTATGCTATCATACATTCTCTTTCTTTCTTTTTTTCGCGTAGTATTTATTTTACACGTAGATCTTAGTTGATATTCGATCTAAGTACGGTGGGTGGAAACACATTTGTGATGATAATAATTACATGTGACTGCACTAATATACTTTTTATATATGATTGAAATTGTTTTGCAGCAATTCAAAAAATAAAGACACTACTGAACATAAATTACATTGAATTTCGAAAGGACTAATACGACGTAGTATTTTATTTAATTGATACAGTATTACTAAACACTCGGATGCGTATTTTTAAATTGCGAAAAGTCGATGACGTCAATGACATCGAAATTCGACTCCTTTATTGCTTCGTCCTCTACATGGTGCTCGCAATTGAGACGGGCCTCGAAAGATATACAAAAAATTTTTAGTTAACGGACAAACCCACAATTCTCTAATTTTCTAACTTCCTTTTCTTGAAATGATTTGCTCTAAACCACAGATTAATATATTAGTGTTAGTATGAATTTACCATGTTTGGAAGCGGAGTAGACCTGATTCTTGCAAATTACATTAGTCAAATTTGTTGTCAACCAATGAAATTGATCAAAAAAACTGCGATAGGTAATTGATTAACTCTTTATTCCCAAATTGGGTATGCAGGCCTAACGCTAATTAGGGTGTTTCTAATAATAATAAGGAAACTTCTACAACATTCTACTGATCTACATAAAAAAATTGATTTCACGCGCAAAGATCTTGTACTGATGGAACTTGATGGAATTTGTTTGTGTATCAACCAATCAGCTGTAGTTTTATAAAAATTTTCGACCCCGAACAGAAAAATTTCTAATCAATCTCTCACCAACACCTCCTCCAAGAACCGTTAAAAAATAGCGATAACTATGAACCGTTTGGCACGATACGCTACCAAATCACAACTTTCACGAATTCCCGCTTTACTTTCTGGTATACCAAGGCAGACTTCTGCCCCCTCCTTGGCGCGTGGATATGCTTCACATAAGGAAATCAAGTTTGGAGTCGAGGGTCGTGCTTCTTTGCTTAAAGGAATTGATGTACTTGCAAAGGCGGTTGCGGTCACGCTAGGACCGAAAGGTCGTAGCGTATTAATAGAACAGGCATATGGTAGTCCGAAAATAACAAAGGATGGAGTAACCGTGGCGAAAAGTGTAACTCTCAAGGACAAGTTTGAGAATTTGGGTGCAAGGTAAATAAATCATGGATGTTTCCGGGGAATCTAAGAGCAATGTAATAGTTTTATCGCCTTTGTTCCATAGCGACAGTATTCTATAGCGTCATGTCTTCTTCGCGTGTAATTGCCATTTTACTAACGTGATATCCCTATTAACACAGACTCGTCCAGGATGTTGCAAACAAGACGAATGAAGTTGCAGGAGATGGTACCACGACAGCCACAGTTCTAACTCGCGCAATCTTTGTAGAAGGTGTAAAAAATGTTGCGGCAGGCTGTAATCCAATGGATCTTCGTCGCGGCGTACAACTGGCTGTTGATGCCATCGTGCAATTTCTGCGAGAGAATAGTCGTGTAATTACCACAAGCGAGGAAATTGCTCAGGTAATAGATTTTACTCTGGTGCAGTACTATTATGTAAAGTGTACGATTATTGTTGTTCGATATCTGATTGGGACTGGCCTGCATTTTTATTTGTTGTAGGTGGCTACTATCTCTGCAAACGGCGATACGCACGTAGGACAGCTTATTGCTAATGCAATGGAAAAGGTCGGAAAAGAAGGTGTTATCACGGTAAAAGAAGGCAAGACAATCGAGGATGAATTGGAGATCACAGAGGGTATGCGGTTCGATCGCGGTTACATCTCACCATACTTCATGACGGACACGAAAACGCAGAAGGTTGAATTTGAGAAACCGTTGATCCTTTTATCCGAAAAGAAGATTTCTGTATTGCAAGATATCCTTCCAGCTTTAGAAGCATCTGCTCAACAGCGTAGGCCACTTCTCATTATTGCCGAAGACGTCGATGGAGAAGCGTTGGCGGCCTGTATTCTCAATAAATTGAGAGGAAATATTCAGGTTGCTGCTGTCAAAGCACCTGGATTTGGTGATAATCGTAAGAATGTTCTCGGCGATTTGGCTATTCTCACTGGTGGTACAGTGTTCTCCGATGATTTGGATATAAAGCTTGAACGTGCAACTCCCGACATGTACGGAACAACTGGATCAGCTACAATAACAAAAGAAGATACGATTTTTCTCAATGGGGAAGGTTCCAAAGATATGATAAATCAACGTTGCGAACAGATTCGTGCAGCTATCAACGATCCAACCGTTTCCGAATACGAGAAGGAGAAACTACAAGAGCGTCTTGCTAAGCTTAGCGGAGGAGTTGCAGTAATTCGCGTTGGTGGTGCTTCAGAGGTGGAAGTGGGAGAGAAAAAGGACAGGTTTACTGATGCGTTGAATGCTACACGAGCTGCAGTCGAAGAGGGAATTGTACCTGGTGGTGGAGTGGCATTACTCAAATCTACTCGATGTTTGGATAAGTTGAAGCCGGCTAACTTTGATCAACAGTTGGGCGTAAACATTATTAGATCAGCATTACAGAAACCAGCAAAGACAATCGTTGATAATGCTGGTGAAGAGGGAGCCGTGGTTGTTGGTAAGTTGCTTGAACAACATGGTGATGACTTTAATTATGGATATGATGCTGCGACAGGAGAGTATGGCGATTTGATTGCACGTGGGATTGTGGACCCACTCAAAGTTGTGCGGACTGCGCTTGTGGATTCATCGGGCGTCGCTAGTTTATTGACGACAACAGAATGCATGATTACTGAAGCACCCGGTGAGTAATATTACTGATTATTGGCACAACAATGAACTTAAACTGTAAGTGTAACGGTCATATTTACATTTATCTTTATTCTTGTAGAGGAAAATAAGGGTGCTGGCGTGGGAGGTGGTATGGGAGGAGGTATGGGAGGTATGGGAGGCATGGGAATGATGTAGAAACTTTGAACGTTATTAATGCAGAATAAAAATTTGTAGAGAACATTTCTTCATTTACTAGTTAGAACGATTATAATAAAAGATGTTATTACATTTTGCCTGTTATTAAAGCTAATATGGACCGTCTTTTAATGCTTGATCGTCAGTATGTTAAAAGCGTGACGTCTATCTAGTAATCGAGCCATGCAAACTGACTATATGAAAATAGCAGCGCCAGGAAAGATTTTTCAGAATATATGGTGCAAGTCATCTATACCCGATAATCACGTGATAAAAAATAAAGCATTTTTAAAGTCTTTCAACTTCTTACACAGATAAGATATCAAAAATCCGACTGGTAACTTTGTTCTTCATAACAAGCTCTACAAAGTTACTGGTCAGATTTTTGATTAGATTTTTTTGTGAAAAGTTTTAGGGATTTAATATTAAAGTTCTTATTATTATGTTAATCCAACCACGTGATCATATTAGTAGCATATAATTGGATAAAATTGTAGATCGAAACTAAATATATTATTATTATCTTTTCGAAGAAAAGCATGTTTTCTATTTAATTAATTTTTGCTTATCATATTACAATATTATTGGTCAATTAAAATCGAAACAAATCACGTGATTGTCTAGTATAGATGACTTGCATCATAGCATTGTTGTTAAAGACGAATAAACAGCTGTTCATTTTTTAATCCTTCATGCATTCAAGATAAACTACTTTAATTATGTTATTAAAAGAAGCATCATTGCTGGTGTACCCAGTGTGTGATAATCGGAAATGATTATAGATTATCACATCGCAAAAATCGAAATGGGCTAACCCATTTCAGGATCCCAGAATGGGTCAAATCCTAGAAAGGGTCCGAACAGCACTATGGACATTCATGATTTTCAGATTGGATGTGAATTAGGAGAAGAACTTGTATAAATGTTAAAAAGTGAAAAATGAGAAGGTGATGTTCCTAGCTATGCGAATATGAACTCATGATGAACATGTTTTCTAAAACCAAATTGCAAAAATATTGAAGACATTATAAACCAATTAAAAAAAACACAACCAATTTGATGGCACTATGGAAAATGAACGCCTTACTGAAAAACTAAGAGACCCTGAAGCTTACTACAAAAAATGGGATAAAACTCCTCGGACTCAATTAGAAAACCAACTTGACAAAAATAAGAGAGAAAAAGTTTATTTAATAGTTGGCTGTGGAATATTATTGTTTTTTTTTTAGTTATCTTAGTTATTAAACTATTTAGAATTAAGAGAAATAAGAGTTAACTATGTCATCTAACACTTTTTGATTTAGTATAAAAATTACTCAATTACATTTTGTACTGGTTTGGGACAAGTAATGTCTTTAAATTTATCTCTAACGAATAAGCGAATATTTTTGTAGAGGTACTCTCGATGTTTGTAATCCAAAGGAGGAGGGGTTAGTACCAGGATAGAAAAGATTTAATTTCTTTGGTAATTTCAAAAACGCTTGCTTTTCTCGTTTTTAACAAATTAAATTCAGTATAAGCACCATTAGCAACCAGCAGAGCTTTGACAACTCCAGATTGAGCTGCTTCAAAAAGAAAATGCTGATATTTTTGCAAGCCATTCAATTTTTTAAAGAAAATACCCAACACGGAATTTAGATCTAAATATTGAAAACCTTTGCCATTTCGTAGCACTTAGTTCTTTTTCTGTAATGCTGTTAAGGTAGCGCGAGTTCGTTTGTTTACATCACTTTGCTGAGAAGCATTTTTCGATTATTATTTAAATTGATAGGACCATAAGTCGACATTATGTTAAGTTTGTAATTTGTTAGATACGTGTAGCAGAAAATGGGAAAAGAATCTTATTCTTATATTTAATTGTGTATAACGGCACAAAATCCGTTATATCGAGATAAGCTAAATTAAATGTGTTCGAGCAAATTAGTCCGGATCCGTTATATTAATATCACTGTTTAATATAAATATAAAAGTCCGTTATAATAATACTTATTAAAAATTCCGTTCCAGCAAAAAAGTCCGTATAAGGCAAAATCCGTTATATCGACAGTCTGTTATATCGACTTTCACTGTGTATATGAATATAAAATTGGTGGCATAAAATTTCTATAAAACTTACCAGAAAAGGTAATACACTGCCCTACCATAAATTACCGGATTTCATTTTTTTTACTAGTAAAACATATGAAAAGTCTTTTTTTTTCCCAAAAATCTCTCCTGCTCATGTATACTATATGGATGACAATAGTTATTGTATGGTTTTGAAGCCAATTAATTGTGCTTTCGAAAAAAGTTAACGGTAAATTATACCACCTATATATCATTATTATAAAGCTATAGCTTTGTAAAGTGGCAGTCTTTAAATTATGGTATAAAAATATATGATTATACACTACCCTCGGAAAAGTATTTGGTCAACAAAAGAAATATTTTATTTATTTAATTTTTTAACACAAACATGACATTTAATATTCTGTAGGCCATCC